AGTAAGTGCCATGATTTGGCTTGATTATCTTTCCATACTCGCATAGGAAATTAGTAATTGCTGCCTTGTTTATATGATTATGAAGAGTGTGTAGGAATATTTCAGAAGCAATTTCATCTGCTGTGCAGATCGAACGGAAATCCGTTTAATACAACAGTTGCTCCAGAACCAGCACCAGTTCAGGCATTTCCTTCCTTAGTTGCACCTGTTCCTTCCCCTTATTCTGATGCACCCGTTCGCCATGGTGCACCTACTCACCATGGTGGAACAAGCTCGACTGTTAGAAAAAATTCAACCATGAGGGTCATTGCTTATGTTGTTGCTGTGGTACTAGTTATAATTGCAGTTCTCCTTGCTCTGTTTTGTACATTGAAGTTGCAAGAACGACACCTCAAGCGCGAGCTCATTCCCAATTGTCATAAAAAAATGGCACCTAAAATGACCAAGCACCCTTCAAGCACTACTGATTTGGCTGCATCAAATTACAAGAAAGAAGATTGTAAGTTCATTGATTTGCTGAATGTCTAACCCATCTGGTTTAACATGTTTTATCTTTCTTTGTACTCTTTTTAATTACTCATCTGTGTTTTTTTTCCTTTTTCTTTTTTTTTGTGGATCTGCAAATGTTTCTGGTAGTTTATGGGAACACTCTCCGGAAACAAAAGGAACATGAAGCTCATATGATTGAAACTTCTGCAGGGCTGAGGCCCATTATGGCTGAAAAAGTAGCTGCAAAACCCATTGCCCCCTTGTACAAAGAAAAAGATTATATTTCTTTTGACAAAGCAATGTCTCTAAAAAGAAATTGTACTCTCCCAGCTTCTGTGACATCCTTTTCTGTTGCTTCGCTTCAGCAGTATACCAATTATTTTGGAGAAGAAAATCTGATCAGAAGCTCTTATTTGGGCAAGGTATATGTGGCAGAGCTGTCTGAGGGCAAGGTATCTCCTGATTAAATTTGTTTGTGCTTTATTTTTATTTAATTTCCTTCAATAGCTGACAACTAAATGGCTTTTTATGTGTTATCAGATTAGATTTTCTAATTTTTTGTTAGTATAATTTTTTGAATAGCTAAATGCTTTATTAAAAAATATAAATTTATTCTAAATATTTTATTAATTGAATGTAGGACATAAGGCCATTTAAAGATAGAATTTTACACAGGGTGCTCTTTGATAGTTAAATATATAATATGATGGTGGTAAAAAGAGTTTTTCTTTGTTTTTTGTTCAACTTTTGTAATTATAAGTAGGAAATCTTGTTTATTGTGTGCAACATATGATGATTAATTCCTCGAGAACTTCTTAGAGTGGGAGCTTGTCAGGCGAAACATGACTTTTGAAGGTGAATAAGAAAATAAGGCATGCAGAACATGATATAGTATTATATAACTGAGTTAGTGGAGAGAATAAACTGGTAAAGCTGAATGAAAGCCTTTCCTCCTTCAATATACGTGAGGGGCATATGCCATTAATGTTTCTCATAACCATAACAATTTGTAATGTGTGTCCATATTTTTTCCCTCACCACATATAAGAATGGCTGGCTTTTATGTGGACTGGAAATGTTATTTAGTTTTACTGTTTACTGAAAAAAACTTTTTTACCATGTTTTATTTATTTTCTGTCCTTACATGTCTAATAGTGCAAAACCTTTTTTAGTGTAACTATCTCTCACATTAATATTGTCTATTCATGGGAGAAAATAAGTAAAATTATCCAAAGCTGAGCAGTTTCTATAACATGACAAAATTTGTTTATATGATTTATAAGCCTCTCCCCTAATAAGTTAACTTTATCAGAAAGAAAACTTGTGTTATCATCTTTAATGCATGTGTGAGCATACATATTTTTCCTAAAACAAATCCTCTTCTTTACTAATAATAATGGAGCTTTAGCCTCAAACATAAATGCTGATGTTTAGGTTGGGGAGAAAGTGCATTATTCCCATCTTCATGATTTTTCATTAGCTTAATTTGATTATGTTAACATATTTAGGATGTTAATAATTTGATTGGATCAACTATGATTCATTTCCAGCTATTAACAGTCCTGAAGCTCAATAATCTGACTTCAAACATCAATACTGATGACTTTCATGAGTTAGTGTTGCGCATCTCAGAACTTCAACATCAGAACATCATTAAGCTTGAGGGCTATTGTTCTGAATTTGGACAGAGGCTGCTTATCTTTAAATACTTCAGCAGAACTACACTTAATGACTTGCTTTATGATTTTAGTAAGAAGAGATTATCATGGAATGCTCGAATTCAAATTGCGCTTGCTGCTGCCAGAGCCATAGAGTTTGTTCTTTGAGCTTTTTCTCGGTAAAACTATATCCATCCTAAAATTTATGACCATGTCGTGAATGCATTCTCTCTTTTTTTGAAGGTACCTACATGAGTCCTGCAAGCCTCCCGTCATACTCAGAAACCTAGAAGCCTCCAGTATTCTACTTGATGATGAGCTTGCAGTATGCATTTCTGAATGTGGCCTGGCTTCAGATGTATTATCCAACTCTTTAACCCAGGTAAGCAATGCAGAGAGATAGTAACCTATGCCGTGCGATTTATATGAATGTTCTTGATAGTTTAGGGTGTGTTTTCTTTGAAGGAATTGGAGGAATTCAAATGCATTTTGTTTCACAATGTAATTAATATTTAATTGAATTCGCTAAGAAAATTTAAACAGATGCACTTTCTCACTGGCAATTCCCTGCCCACCCCAAGTGAAGAATGAAAAGAAAAAAACTATTAGATCATAACTGCCAGTCAGATTTCCCCTCACAAGAAACAAAAACTCAATTTCTAATCAACCAAACAAGAAAGAAAAAAATATTGTTCACTCAATTTCTCTTCAGCCAAACACCTGGTGAAAACTAATTTCTCTTCAGCCAAACACGTGTAATAACTAATATTGTTCACATTTTTTTTGGATATTAGTCTTTGTGATGCAAATAAATAAGAATTACCAAATACTAGTATACTAAATTTTTCCTTGGTAACCTGCGTGTTTCTCAGTTCTCTTGTTTCTACAAACTGAGTATCAGGTTCAACACTTCATGTATTCCATCTTTTAACAAGCTAAACTGCTGCTGATAAATTAGCATGCCGTTTCATGGTGTGATATTGCGATTTTACTACAAAATCTAAGCTTATGATAGCAATTGAGTGATCTGATGTTGCCGTTTGATCCTAGAAATGAAACATAACTGGGTTCTTTTATGTTGATGATGGTATTACATAATGAATGTAATGTTATATTTTCGATGACATAGATGAGGAAACTATTTAACTTCTCAAGTTTGAAATATGCTAAATGATGTTACTTAGATTGTATTTCGAATAAAAGAAGATCCTAAGTGAATAAGTAAAATCCATAGTAATATTAATTATACATACATTTAAGCATTGCAATACTTTTGTTTCAGTTTTCAGGTGATTCAAGAACACCTTTTGGTTATGAGGCCCCAGAAATTAGTGAGTCAGGGTCTTATACAGATCGAAGTGATGTTTACAGTTTTGGCGTTGTTATGTTAGAGCTTCTTACCGGACGCCAACCATATGAACGGTAGAAAAAATGACTTTTATGAGAAACTTTTAGGTCCTTTTACTTCTCATTAAAGATACATTGTAAAAGCTTCTCTTTTTCTCTCTGTCAGTTCACAGTCTCGTGCAGAGCAGTACTTAGTCAGATGGGCCAGTCCACAGCTTTATGACATCAATGCATTATCAAGAATTGTGGATCCTTCTATTGATGGTGTGGTTTCTCTAAAGTCATTATCTCGCTTTGCAGATATCATCAGTCGTTGTATTCAGGTAATGTATTACTGGCATTTATAGTTCAGCTGCAACCGTTAGTTTTTTGCTTTGTTTTGATGCTTTTCTATCCAATGAGTGATTTTTTTGTCCTTATTCTTATGTTCTATTTTATCCCACTTCCATGATGTTCTATAATATTGTCTCAATGTCTCGACATAGCCATTTGTATCTCAGGCTACTAGGTGTGAAATCTCTTAGATCACTTGATTATCTTCATTAGTGCATGCATTCCTTGATCATTACCTTTGTAGGGGCCATCTATGGGCTGCCCTTCACGTGTCCCATTCATGTTCTTGTGACTTTGTTTAGTATCATTCATTTAAGTTAGAGTCTTCTGGGACAAATAAGTATGTTAGATACAAATATTATTGAAGTTCACGTTTGCATAAAAGCCATTTAGAGTTCCTTTCAATGGTTTCAATTGAAGTTCCTTAATCATTGTTTATTTGATTGTTCAATTACTTCTTGGAATTTATTCATTCTTACAAAATAAAGAAGATTGATCGTCTTTCCAGCTCCAATATTGCCAAAAGGCTAAGACAGATGTTTAGATAGTGTGGTGCATAGAGCTATGATAGCAGTAGAGAGATCTACATCTAATAAGGCACCCCCATTGAAGAAGGTGAAAACTAAACAACCTTAAGAAGCATAAGATGGCCAAAAACTGGTTCTTCCACCAAATGAGGGGTATGTTGTAGGAACCTCCAGGCATGACGATCATTATCAGAGAAGTTGCTATGGAGATCATGGTTTCTGGTGCAGGAATGGACGGAGGTTATCATCATGGAAACACGTGCGACGACTATTTTTAATGAGGATCTTTTGAGGAGCATTCTACCATCGAAGGCCGGGGTTAAAAGGCCTCTAGAAAGAGGGACAAGGAGTGAATGCAGTTTTCTTAGATCTATTTTTATAGCTAAGTTGAATAAGGTTTTTGATGATATAAAGACAACTTCTTAGAACCGAACGCTACCTTATGAGCCGTTCACCAATTTCCTAGAATCAATGGAGAAGTGCCCCTTCTTATTGGGATGAAGACAGAAGTGAATTCTCTGCAGTTTCCTGGATGAATAAATTGAGAGCGTTGAGGGAAATTATTTCATCTCATATAGTACTTTTCTTAGCTTACATGTTTTTTGTTTTGTATTTAAGCCAAATCTCAGTGTGATCTTCATATATACTTCTTCCTCTAGGTCATTATATAAGAAAGCATTTTTCAAATTGAGTTGTTAAAAACAGTAAAAAAGCTATCCCAAACGAAATCTTAATCGTATTGAATCCAAATTCCATCTGCAATACTCAAAAGACTTTGAACTTAGAATTCTTGGTAATGAATGCATAGTTGTTATATACATCCTTGCATTAATTAATCTATATACAAAAACATCTAACAGTCTATTTGCTCTATATTGCAGCAAGCTCCAGAATTCAGGCCATCAATGTCTCAGATTGTGCAAGATTTAAGCCTGGTGTTAAAAGATGCAACGATGTGAATCCTTAATGCATTTTCATAGTGGAAATACTAATTGAAGGAGACTTTGAAATTTGCAAAACAAACCTTAGCCTTCTAATTATTTGCAAATAAAACCCTCTTTTTTGTGTTTTTGGATAGCCAGCCCGCCCTTATCAGCAAAATATGTATAATAATCACCATCTGCCAACTCCAGTATTACTCTCCTGTCACATGGCGTTTCTGTAGCTTTGTTAAAAGCCAGTTTGGATAAACAGATTGTTTTGAATTTTGTAATATTTGATTTATTTTATACATTATAGATTTTTCCCGTTCCATTTATTGAAACTGAGACTAATCTTTTTTTAAAAATTTTATAAGTATTTTTTCATGCATGTAATTACTCTTTCAGCCATCCATTTTATTTTGAATAATTTGAATTGAATTCACCTAAAATGAAAAGGGCAAGTGGCTTATTAGTTGAATGAGATGATTGTTTCTTTAATATCTTGAATTGAGTCCTACACTTAACAGTCTATTGCTTATCATTCTAAAAGAAACAGAAAGTATATTGACTGCCATAACTAATGAGGAATTTTGGTCAGAGCAACATAATGACTTCGTGTGATCGGACTCAATAGAAAGAGAAATTATTACGTGTGGAGTCCGAATGTCCGGATTGTAACTGTATGCGATTCACATATTCGAATATAACTCTACGTTTTGTTTATACGTCTAGATGTAATTCCACATCCGGACTCTGCATGTAATAATTTTGATTTTCATTTAAAAAGAGTGTCAATCCTAAAATCTAAATTCAATCGAGATGTTGAACCTTTGGGCTGGGTAGATCGGGCCAATACGATAAAAAATAAATATGAAATTTAATTGAATATCCAAATGTTCATGCTCCACATTTCAAGATTTAATTGGAGTATGGATGTAAAATTATGTCTGGACTTCGCACCGAATAATTTCTCCAAACGATGTAGGTATGAGCAAGATTTTGGAACTATATTTGAACATGGATCGAACATGATTTAAATAGGATTTGAGTAGTTCAAAATGATAAATAGACTCAATAAAGTCCAGTTCAAGATATAATATCCATAATATAATAATACAAAATTGCAGTCTGAGAGATAAAAGATAACAGGTTTTAAATTGAGATGTTTACAAAAATACTCATAAAATTGTATATGATTTACTTCTAGAAGATATTGTAATTGAGCTCATTTGATATTGGTTATTGTCATTAAAAAAATTAGGTTTAAAATCACATTGAAACAAGTGGTCGATCTAAGAATTTTTTGAATCTAAAAATGCTATCAACATTTTTCATCTATAGAAGATTAATGTTGATTATAGGATAATATAAACAAAATAAATGTTAAAACCTTTTTTTTCTATTGATGTTATATATAAGGCTAAGAGAGAAAAAAAAAGAAAGAAAATTTTATAAGAATTTTGAGGTGGCCCCTACAAGTTTAAGTGGTGACTCCCACGACGTAGCACTTTGTCCCATATAGGATTCAAGAGGTGACTTTCATGGCATAGCATTTTGTCTTATATGACACTTAGTTCTTATCTTCCTGCTGGTGTACAACTATGATACCATTTATAACAGCATAAACTCTTAACTAATGAGATATTATATGTTTTAGCCTAAGGGCCTCACGGTTTTGTCATGTTGGTGTAATTTTTCAGGAGGTCGCTCATCTAATGAATTCTTCGGGAAGAGTATGCTTAGCTGCGGAGTTTCTTAATAAAATTTTAATCATTAGATCAAATTAAAATGATCCTCGATGTTCAAGAGTTTAGTTTTTTTTTACTTAAGTGGATTCACATAACAATCCTCTCTGAATTAGAATAAATTTTTATTTATTAAGTGTTTTTAGATAAATAGATTGAATGTGTAATCTTATTGATCAAATTTAATCCAAAATATTATGATATGGATTTCTTTCATGGATAATGTACATTGGGATGTGCAAAAGATAGGGAAGTAAAAAATTAAAAATCATAGTTGAATAGGACTTGTTTGGACTTTTCAATTTGGAGAGATTGATTTGATGTAAATATATAAGTTATTTCTTACCTATAGAGTAAGTGATATGCCAAGATTTTAGTAAGTGAACTAAGCCTACCCACCACTTGAGAAGCAGAATGTTACTTACATGCCAAGATTTTATTCATGCTTGTGGCTCATTTGGTTAACAATATATTCTAAAAGTAATACATTTAATTTTATTTATTTTGAGTGTAAAAATTAAATTATTATATTTAAAAAATTTTGAAAGAAAAAAATTAGATCATAATATCTTGATCTAATTTTGATTGCGATGAACTTTAAAATTAAGGGTGTCAATAGATAATGCAACTTGACAACTGGATCCAAAAAATATGGGGTTCTAAGTTAAACTATTTAATAAATGGGTTGGATTCAAGTCTTGAATTTTGATCCATTTAATTGACGGTTTAGGTTTTGGCTGACCTAACAACTTAATTTTGACTCAAAAGTGACATGTTTAATTTTTTTCTTTAATTCTTGTACTTGTTAGTATGATTTTCTTCTTTTTAATCAATTAACTTAAACTCTATAATTTACAAATTATAGATTTTTTCTTTTTAATCAAGCAGATTTTTGGATTGAGTTCGGGTTATTTGGGTTGCTGGCAAGTTGGGTTCAGGTTCATCTTTTTGACTTGTTTATTAAACGAGTTAGGTTTGGATAGATTGAATTTAGAACTGGTCAATTTCGATTCAAATCGTAACTTAACATGCTAACCCGTTTCAAGACCCCCTATAAATTTGATTCATGCTATATCTATTATATTTAAGTGCACGAAATTATTTGATTTTACTTTACATAAAAACTATCATATTTCATGAAATATACAACAATAATGGTAAAATATTAAGGCGTATATATATACAACAAATAGAATAAATATTATAATAAATTAAGAAAAATTATTTTTTTATGATTATTATGATGAAGATTAAATTAGAATATTCTTATCTAATTTTTGTTAATTTCACAAGTTATTGTGCTTAATTTAATATTTGTACTAATTTCTCATCAAATTCAATCAAATGGCATAATTTAATAATTCCATATTATTTAAAAATGTATTTTTTTTTTTTATATAATTTCGTAGAACCAAATGAATGAACCTTAGAATTAACTTCTTATAGACGGTTCAACTTCTACTTTCAATTCATAAACCTTTTTGTACTATATGTTGCATTTATTTTGTCAGTTCCTTCTACATTCCCACAACGTTAATATTATTTTGATTATGACATCTGACAGCAAATTATTAATTAAGAAATGATTGAAGATAGCTCTCGTTGTACTGAACGTTGACGGTCAGTTAAGCAAACTTTCATGACGATGGATTCTTTTAAGGGAAATTTACAAACATACAGTATGGGCTAAGCTCTATAGTACTTGGGGCAGCCCATATTATACGGCAAGGAGTAGTACAAATAGAGTCAAGCTTTTGATATTGAGGGCCTGGGTAGCTCGGTTTAGTTTTACACATTGTGCACAGACGACGACGATTGATAAGAACTTTAACATATTTTAATAACTAATTTAATTATCCATACTAATATAACTGTATTGCAGAAGGAGACGTTGGGTAGAGAAACAAATGTTATTATGATCCACTGTCTCACTCACAAGTGCTAGGAGGACAAGTAGAAGGTGGATGAGCGAGCAAGGAGGACCTATGTAAGTATATAAGCTTATAATACTTATAAAAATATTATAAGTGATGATTATACCATGATTAATATTATGTTATATTTTGTAGGATAAGTATACATGACTTCGAGAAAACTATACTGTAGCTGGTGAGGAGTCCTCTAAGGGTTCCACAGATGCTTTCGACTACAACACTTATTCACAGGCAGTAGGCAAACTGTAGAAGGGACTAGTTTATGAATTTTGCTCATTGGCTTACGCATATAAAGGATAGTTCTCTTTTACCTCCAACTACTATGTAAATAACATGATAGTTGGTATAGCCAACAGGTGGTTGCCTTGATAGCAGAGCTATAACATGTCCGAAAATCACATGCTGACATGCACATGTAGATATTAGATGAGCTTCAGAAATTGAGAGAGAAGATCAGTGAAAAATGAAAATCATCTTCCTCATGCATCAACGAATAATGGAGAGCGAGGATACATATTCTACTTAGATTGTCTTCTTGGATTTTTTATTCATTTTACCTTTTTTATGTATATAAAAACTATGTTTACTTTAACATATTGTATTAATTGTAGAATAGTTGGAATGTGATTATTTATTTGAGCAAATGAATTATGATTGTAGAGCAATTTATTTATTATGTTTATTTTAGCAATGTTTACTTAAATATTAGCATTATTAACTACTGTTTTTAAAAAAAATTGCTTGGATTGTGATTGTTAAAAAGCTGAATAATTGATATTAGGTGATGTTTTTTTATGCTACAGATTTCTGACGGATTTGCAGCAAAATTTCTGCTGTGAACAATGAAACAATGAAGGTGTATCATATATTGCAACATAAATATCTGCCTCTAATTATGTTGCAAATGGCAACGGACAAGTCGCCATATGACCGCCGCAATTTGCAGCGGTATATCATCCTCAAATTTGTCGTAGTTAGTAGCATAATTAGTGGTGGTTGGCTAAAACGAAAATGTTGTTTTCCTGACTTTAACTCTGTCGTAAATTTCCAACGCAACTTTTAGCGTCAGAATGTATTCCACCGCAAATCTGCTGCAAAACTAAATTCACGATGGATTTGATTTATTTTGCGGCAAATTGTTCTAACTGAAATAACTTACTTTCTTGTAGTGAGATTTGATGCCTACAATACTTTCCAAGGGTTGTTGAGAATGGCAGGAGAAGATGTGAAGATGATAATTAGAGAAGAAGATGACATTCTTCTTTGCTTGTGTTGTCTATAATATCTTCCACTGGAGCACTCTACGTGCTTTGGCCATGACCTCAAAAAATTCCAAAACTTGCAACCTATTTCTCATGGGATGTAGAGGGGATTTTACAAAGAAATAAATGGGGGTACCTAAATTGTGTTTTTGCGATGTTAAATAATTTTTTAGTTTTAAAATAATAAATTTTATGGATTATATTTGTAAATATTAGAGTTTAAATATCATATATGATATATTCTCGAAAAATTATCTTGATCGGCACGAATCTCGAGGAAAAACCTAACCCGGAAACTTCAAAAATTAATTTTGGGAGCACCCGAACTCCGATTTCAGCGAGCCTATAATCAAACTGAGCGTCTCAGAAATGCGAACCCAACGACACCAAATTCGACCCAATCCGAGCCCAAATAGGTCCAAATCAAGGACCGGAAGCACCGTTGGAAGGTTCAAACCGCAATTTGAGTTACCAAACGGTCTCCGATTTTAACTATCTTATACTCGAATCGAGCGGCTCGACGAGACAAATCCAACGAGCCCTAGATCGCCGAATTCCAACATCATTAAGGCCTCCAAATGTCCAACGAATGGTGCACACGACTCGAAGGTTCATATGCGTCCATTCAAACCACTCCCTATCGCCCCTGATTCATACCTATTTACAAGCATGCCACTCCAGAAAAACTATTAAATGAGCCCTCATTTCTTCACAAAGGGGCTCAAGTGAAGAGAGAGAAGAAGACGAGAAGAAGGAAGAAGAAGAGAAGCTCCTCCTTGACCACCGCCTGAGCTCTTCCGCCGCCTGAAGACGCCAGAACTCTGCCGAATTTTCGAGAAACGCCGGGAATTTGCAGAACTTTGTAACTTTGTGAGAAGTTGATGTAAACTGATCGTCTTGATTTGTAAGATGGATCAACTTTTTGTACTTCAAACAAACACTAGTGGAACTTTAAACTGGCGCGAGACCCGTGATTTTTCCCTCTTCGGTTTTCCACGTAAAAACTTTGTTTTCATTCTCTTTTCTGTTTGTATGCTGAATATTCGTGCAACGCTCGACCGAATACATAAATCTACCGTCCGCTATATTCTAGCCTGCAACAATATATGCTCAAGTATACATATATATATATAATATATATATATATTATATATATATATATATATATATAATATATATATATATATATAATATAATAGTAATAGCCTTTAAAAAATTGCGCCTAATTTTTATAAAATATATTCCAATTTTAAATTATTTTATATTTATATATTGATAATGAAGGCTATATCTTTTTCCATATTTGCATTTTTGATGGAAGAGTAAGGTAAGGCTAAAAGGGTAGTTGATTTTTTCCGCTGACGGAGAAAGGCGGTGTGCGACGGCAGATAAAAATTACGAAGTCTACGAGGAATTCGTAGTATTCGTTCTTCGCTCTTTGCTCTTCCTCATCTACCTCGTCTTCTCTCTCATACGCTCCTCTTCATTTCTCTTTTGCCGGTCTCATGGCAGGCCGCTACGATCCCAATCCCTTCGAAGAAGAGGATGTTAATCCCTTTGCGGTAAGTTCAACTCCCCAGTTCTTACTTTTACACTTTGCCTTTGGATTTCTGATTGGTAGTTGGCTCAAGGATTGACTATCCGAGGGTGTGGATTCCAAAATATTTCGACGGATTTGATGATCTTTTGGATCTATACGTTTTTTTCCCATTTCCTTTTGATTGATTGATGCTATCCACTAACAATTTATGGTTCAATTGGGAGGAACGGGCGCTTAATCGTAGAACTTGCAGTATATTTTGGGGAATTTTGTTTTATTTGGAGTGTAGTGATTGGGATGTTGGAGTTCATCTGGAGCAGTTTTAAATACATGAATAGTTTGTTGATGAGATGTTCTTTCAGATGTTGGTCTTGTTCATTGGTTTCCTGAAGTTTTAAGGGTTCTGCTTTAGTGTGAGGTTCGGTTTTGAGCGTGATGGAGATTGTTTATTGGGAGATTTGGAGGGAAATGATGTTGCAAATGATCAAATAATGGATATGAGCGTGATGCAGCTCTGAGTACAATAGATTTTTTATTAGATTCTGGTTATGATTTTTCTGGGGATTTGTGATATCCTGATATGCTTTACTTTAGATCTAGTAAATCAGCTACCTTTGAACAATAGCTGGATAATTTTGTTTTCGGGGATGGGAAGGAAATTTATATTATTCTATAGGGAGAAGATGAGACAAAGACGTGGCTTGTGTAGCAGGGAGTGCTTGTACCTGATGTCTTCGCTTGGTGTAAAGATGCAAGCTATCCTGTTTCTCCGTATCTTATTTTTTCCCACCCTGTCATTTTCTTCCATTCAACTTTGCTTTGAATTCTGAAGTCTGAACTTGGAGCGACCTATTTAGTTATGTTATTATCAAACGCTGTTTACTATATAATATTTCACATGTTATTCAAAATTCTAATGCTTATACTTTTATTCCTTTTTCTGTGTTCTAATTTATCTTTGCTTCCATATGAAATCTGGGTCCTTTAACTTTGGCACTGATTTGAGCATATTCTGTAACATGGGAGAACGTACTGGGATAAAATAATTGCAATTTGCAATCTAGTTGGAACATCAAATTAATGTGTATTAGTTGGGAAATTATTGTTTTATGACAAAACCAGGGGTAGAATTAATGAATAAGCACTTGTTTTTTTCTTTATGAACTACATTGAAGGCATCAGTTGTAAAAATGACATTACTCTGAAAAGATAAAGGTCATAGGTCTTTTTTACTCTCAACAAGAGGCTGTATGGCTAGAGCATTAACACTTAGAATCTTCTTGGATTTCTCCTTCTTTTGAAGCATATTTAGCTAAATCAGACCATTTTATTGGTTATTTGTGAGGTGCTGATACAGTTGTATTTGGATCACATACTAAAGACTGCAAGAAGCATTCTTCCGCCCTAATTTAACATTTTCTGCAAATTTGAGGTTCATAGGAAAATTTGGAATTCTACATTTCAAGAAGATAAAAGGAAATTACTTTTGAATGTCTGAGTGGGGTTCTTATACTTATATAAAAAACTTAATTAGTGGTTAACAATTTGATGTTGCCATGGAAATATGATCAATCACCTTATTCTTAAATGCTGAATTTGACTTTCACCATCTGCATTAGGCATTATGGTAAGTTAGAGGAGTTATGGGCAATCCTTTCATATGTGAACCCTGCTAGATACATTTGAGAGGTTAATAACCTTCTCTTAAACATTTCTATTCAACCAACAAGAGGCAAGGCCACACTCATATTTAAGGAAATAAGTTGTTCACTTATTTCCATGTGGAAATGTGTTATTCATTATTCAGTTTGCTGTTTGTAAAAACGTATGCTCATACATTGGCATATATTGTGATGTAGATGTGGAAATAACTTTTAGAATTAAGGTTGGGTTTCTAAAGTTGAGAAGTGCTATGGGAGCATGATGTGATAAAATGATATCATGGATACTTAAAACGGCAAAGCTTATAAAATTACAAAGATGTTTTTAATGTTTCATGGATTTAAGTGTTGTACACTAAAAAAGATCATTTGTTAAGTTGAATGTGGTGGAAATGAGAATTTAAATGAATTGTGGTAAAATTAGAAATGATAAATTAAGAAATAATTATATTAGAAGAATCGTTAGAGTGCTATCTCTAGAAGCTATGATAGTTGAAAATAAATTTAAGCATGTTTTGGACTTGCACAACTGAAGATAGTTCATGAACCCAATACATGGATATATAAGATTTGTGTTGAACGATAGATTGAAAATTTTGAAACAAAGAAGTGGTAGACCTAAGGTAATATGGACTATAGTTGTTTAAAATGACTTACTAAAAATAAATTTGGTGCATTAGGAAAAGGTCAGAAAAATGAATGAAAATTGAGGATTCATAAAGCCAACTCAAACTGTTGGGATAAGGTGCATCTATATGCATGTGGCAATGGATTCATTGGATTGGATATTGAAACCATGTAATTATGCTCACAGACTTATGCTTTCTCTTGTTCTTTGTTATACTTGTTATTTAAATTTATCTCAATTGTAGATAGTATTGATGATTGAATAAGTGTATGGTTTTCTTCCTGTTAGACATGTTTTATGTCACACTTGATCTGTTATTTTTTCATTTGTCTTAAGTTTTACTCGTTTATTTTTCCTCTTAAGTTATGAATTTTGTCTAATACTCCAGAACACAAGTGCCGTTCCCCCTGCATCTAATTCTAGGTTATCACCTCTTCCTCATGAACCCGCTGGCTTTTTCAATGTTCGTGGTGCAACAGTTGATATTCCCCTTGATTCCAATGTGGTAAGTGATGATTCCAATTTTCCAAGGTCTTTGATAACATGTTACATGGTAAAGGAGAATTTACCCTTTTTTTCCTTTTGTTTTGGAAAATTAGTTTACTTAAAGACCTTAGGCAGCCAAAAATTTGTTCAGGCCTAATTGATTACTTGATGCAGGCAGATAATGTTCCTTCTTAGTATTTTCAACCTAGAGAATAAGAGTTAAATAATAAATTATCTCAATACTCCATCGTCCTACTGCATCAAACCCATTCTGCACTTGTAGCAAACAGACCTTCAAGTACCTTCCTCTAAACCTACTAAAGTTAAAGAAGGAAAAATAAATTAGGATGAAGAAATAAATGTGGTGGGCAGGGATTGTTTCTATAAGAATGGTGCGTGATGATGATGAGAGGTGAATAAAAACTCAGTTTTGCATATATTTCTAATGTAGGATTCCAGAAGGAAGGAGAAAGAACTTCAAGCAAAGGAAGCTGAATTGAGGAGGAGGGAGCAGGTAATTAGCAGTTAGTTTTTTTTTCCTCTAATTTTTGCTAATCATTTGGAACATGCTTTTTTTTATATGTTCTTTATAGTCATTTTACAAGTGTTTTTTTTTTAAGATATGATATACAAATTTCATATTACCTATTCCCGAGTTGTTGAAATATTTGTTCATCAGTTGTTGAAATATTTGTTCACAGTATCTAACTGCTCAAGTTAGATGGAACATGAATATGGTGGACTTGAGGAATTATACTTGGTTGGCTTTTTATTTGTATATGATTCTCTCTCTCTATCTCTCCACACCGCCAATCCTCTCTCTTTCTCTCTTCCTGCCTCCCTCCCTCATCCCCTTCCTCCCCCTTCATCCCCTTCCTCCCCACTTTTCTGTTTGTGAAGAAAGTAGCTCACTTCTTCGTTAATGATCTAGATGTGATTTTCTATTACATTGTTTGATTTAAACAATTACTGAGAAAAGAAAGTCTGATCGTTAGGGATCAAGCGGGAAGTCCTCCATTTTCAAATCTTGAATGCTTCTTTGCATGCTCTTTGGTTATGCATGAATTTTTACTTTGATGCATGCTTTCTCCTTTGTGCCATATGTTTCTAGAGATGGTGCAATGAGTGATAGACACTATCTTGTCTTCCAGATTAAGCACTCACACCCTTGATGTTTATTTCCTATTTGCAATTGGCTTCTCATTATATAAGATCATTTTTGTTTCATGCTGCCTTAACAATATGTGCTTATAATTTTAACTTAATAATAATGATTATCTTCATTTCACCGAGCCTTCTCATGAGTATTTAGCTCTTAGCTATTCATCTTGTTTGTAGGCCCAAATTTTTTGTTTCATACAATTCCATCTTATTAGTCTTTTTATAGTTAAGGCCACTTTCTAGAGGTGGCGTCCAGGGAGTTTGAGTGAGTCATATGGATTGAACTCAAAATGTTCTAGTTGACCTAAACTCAACTCGCAGTTGAATGACAATTTTCAAATTGAAAGGAGTTTATTCATAATCAACTTGAAATCGTTTCTAGTAGGCTTGAAACTGAATTAATTTCTAGTCATGTTCGATTCTATATCAGCTTGAAACATTTCACGTTTGCTTAAAATTACCCAACCCTTACAAAACATGACTATAGTTATTTTTTCCTCAAAATCTTATTATTGAACAAAAATAGAAAAACAAACTGCTAAAACACATTGAAACCAATGTAAAATTTAATAATTTTGAATACATGGGTACCAAAACAAAATTTACAACTTCAAATCAAGCTCTCAAAGCACAACTAGTGATTTTTGATCTAAAACTCTTGAACCAAATATCAACCCATTTGAAATAAAAAAAAAACTTCATTCACCAAGTCTGGACAGCAATATTAAACAATAATGCAATAATCCAATTAGAACTATTATTCATGGGAATGATAAAAGTTAGATAGATACCTATTAGTGATACCATAATTGTGTACCCTAATCTAATATAAGACCATCACAAATAAAAATAAATCAAACTAAATTTTCTACGAAAGTAGCAACAGCAATCATTTAGTGTATTATCATAGAGAATTATCATATTGGAAAGTTGGTAATTAATAAATATTTTATCTTTATTATATGATATATTGATGAAACCTAAGGCTCTGATGCCAATTTGATGCAAACTAAGGCTTTGATACCAAATTGATGAAATCTAAGCTCTAAAATCAAGTAGGAGAACACTAGAAATGCAAATTATGACACTTCCTTTTGATATCACATAAAAAAACATAAATAATGGTAACTAAGTAGGAAACTGATAGACCGGTAATACTTGGGCTGACCTCTTGCCTGTTGTAGTTCGGCCCTAGGTGGTTCCGTCCCCCTCATGTGGGGCCTAGTGCTTAAGTAGAGAGAGAGAGGAAGAGGGATTAGGAGGGAAATTTTGAATTAAGAGGGTTGTTTAGTCTTTTTGCGGAGTTATTTTGTGTTCTTTAGATAGGAGGTTGGAATTTGGGTTAGGTTTATCTTGATTATTTGCTGAAATTTAGGGTTTTCCATGGTGTTCTTGGGCTCTAGCGACGTCTAGAGAATTATGAGAGAAAGATCATCCTCTTGAATAGAGAATCAATTGTTTCTTGTTATTTTCTTCTTGCTCTCATTAATTCCTGCCATTTATTCTGTTTTTCCAAGTTTGATTGGAGATTTGCGGCGAAGTCTCGCTTAAATTCAGATTTCTTGTAAAATTACTTGAGATCTACAAGGGTTTCCTATCAAATTTGTATCAGGGTCGCTTTCCAAGGCTGTTTTGGGGCTGTTTGGTTTTATTTCTGCAGCAGTTTCCCTTGTCTAAACAATTATTATGGCTGTTTTTGGGGTGAAAATATGGATTTTTGTGTCTAACAAAGATCCGGGTATCAATGACGACCAAGAAGGTGGATGCGTTGGAGGAACGTCTTAAGGGGTAGATGAAACCAATCAAAGCAACAGTGGATGACAAAATTTCCTGCATGGAAGAACAATTCTTTGATCTACGTGATATGGTGAAGATGTTGGATCTCCACAACCAAGCGACGACATCAGAGGCGAGAGGGCCGGAAGGTAAAAATACAAGTTCTGAAATTCGTAGGGATAAAAGTGATGTGGAGATCGTAGAGGGAGAAGGGAGAAGACCCCATATGGAACCTTTCCAGAGGGAGGAGAGAGGGGGAAGTTATGGAGAGAGGCGTGTACATGTGGGGTATGAGCAAAGGGGTGTTGATTTAGAAAGAAGGGAGGTAGATTATGGCCGGAGAGGTGTTGATTTTGAAGGAAGGAGGGGGGAATTCGAAGAAGGTTTGGGTATGAACATGGAAGGAAGGATCGGGACATTTATGGGGAACCACCCACCACTTGGAGAAGGGGAAACTATGGAGGAATAAGGAGAAATGGCGGGGATCCGAAGGTCAAGAAGTTGAAGATGTCTATATTTGAGGGGGAGGATGCACATAAGTGGATTTATAAGGTAGAAGATATTTAGTCGTCAATGGGTTGGTGGAGGAGGAGAAATTGATGACAGCTGGCCTATGCTTTGAAGGGAAGGCATTAGCTTGGTACTAATGGAGTGACCTGAGGCCCATACGGAGTTGGAGGGAGTTCAAATAATGCTTAATTGAACGTTTCCGAACTAGCATGGGAGGGAACTTCTATGAGCAGTTCTTTGCCCTAGTACAGGAAGGCTTAGTGGCAAAATACTGCAAGAGATTTGAGTACATGGAGAATCGACTGGATCGGTTGTCGGAGACTGTTATGGAGGAGAATTTCATTAAGGAGCTTAAGTCAGAGATTTGAACAACAGTGAGAGTCATGAAGCCTCGAAACCTGGGAGAGGCAATGGAGTTAGCTCAGTTAGTGGATGATCAAAAGTGCCAGGAGAGGGGAGCCAAAAGCGGCAGTTCAGGTGGTTCATACAGGATGGCCACCACACTCCTAGCACCTAAGGGGCCTACACCGGGCTACATTCTAGAGATTTTAAGGGAGAAGCCTGTAGGAGGAGGAAGTGGGGAAAATTTAAAAAAACTGATTGAGAGCTAGGTGCAGGAGAAGAGGGTAAAGGGATTATGTTTCTGATGTGACGAGAATTATACTTTGGGGAAGAAATGCAAAGATCGAACTCTTCAATTTCTCATCGTCTGTGATGACGAGGAAGCTGAGAAGGGAGGTGATTAGAGGTCGTTTGACCCTTAAGTGACATGTCGCACGCCAATTTTCGCCTTTTTTTGCTGGCTTTTGCATATAGGGGTCAACAAATTGCCATCAAATGTTCATGTTGGTAGATCATATATTTAGAAAAATAGGGATGTTTTTTGTAAGAATAGAGTTGAACAAGGACCACGATGGCCCAGAACGACGGAACCATGGGATCTTAATCGGCTCCATCCTCCATTCCCCCAACATCCACTTTAAGTGCAAGATGGTGAAAATTTCTATTTTAAATATCAAACCTTGAACCTCCAACATCCAAACTCTTCCCATTTTCAATTCCTTGCCCATGCTACTACTATATGCCTGATACTACGTATCTATAGATATAATATATCTGATTGATGACTAGCCTTAATCGAAAGTTCTCTCTCGTGATCGGGAGGAGTAATTAAATATAGGGGCTTGCGTCTATAGGAAATCAGAACTCAGATCATAAAGTCCTCTAAAATTTGAGGGCGAAATCTCTAGGTAGTGTCTTATCTACAAACCCATCTGCCTTCCAAAATTTACCTCGGAACTTAATTCCGTTAAAACTCCCCCGAAAACAAAAAAGAACAATCAGGCAGAGGCCAGGGCTGAATTTTCGGAGCCCACACTTGTTTACATGTAATCAGCAAAAAAAAAAATTGAACTGACCAAAGAAAACATGAGTCGAAGTTTTTCAAACTTGTTTACATGTAATACTTTATGCATCACTCAGCATAATCTTAAATAGTTTGGATACGGCTAAAGATGACGGTAATTGATGTGTGATGACATATAGGCCTGCATCATGATAAGGTTTGATGATTTGAAAGATATTTATTTTGAATAGGAGTGTATTTTATTTCGTTTTTATACCTTTGAAGAAGTTATTTATAAGTAGTTGACGCTCCATTGATGAACACATGCTTTGCGTTTTTGCCAAGTTGCTAAGCACTTGATATTCCATTTAAGCGGGCCATTTCATGTTTTTATGTTGATGTTCCTTGCTCGCTTTGATGAACAGGATATAAAACGAAGGGAAGATGCTGTAGCTCGGGGTAATTCATTTCTGATTTCTTAAAGATTTCACAGTTCATGCTAGTTCATTAAGGTCGCTAGTAAGTAAACTATTTTTTCGCTTACAACAGAATAACTGTTTTTTCCTGCAGCTGGAATTGTATTAGAAGAAAAGAATTGGCCACCATTTTTCCCTATTATTCATCATGACATTGCAAAAGAAATACCTGTTCACGGTCAGAGGTTGCAGTACCTGGCATTTGCTTCTTTTTTAGGTATCCCATTATATTCCTTTTGTTGACGTTTATGCATTTCTTCCTTGATTCACAATATTTGTTTAGGATCTATATTCCCAGAAACCAAAAGTTGCATTCAGACACTATGAGTAGCCATGCCTTTATTTTGCACCAAATAGCACAACAGCAAAACATTAAAATTTTACCAAATGCATTCCAAGTTTGGTGAAAGTGATCATGTTAGGATGGATGTATGGGAAGAGTATGAATGATAAATGTGAAATTGTTGTATGAAAGATAACATTTTAGTAGCAAATGTGGAATCTGGTTATGTAGAAACCTCACCATCAATTAGGGGTGTCAATTTCTGACGGTCCGGGTTGGAATGTCTAACCCGTTTGAGAAAACGGGTCGGGTTCGGGTTGACCCGTTTAAATTTGGGTCGGGTCGGGTTCGACCCGAACCCGACGGGTTGACCCGAATTGACAGCCCTACCATCAATAAGCTGGGGTGATAAATTAGTGTGAATGGCGTATAGCATAGGTGAGTAGACCTAAGTAGGAGATGTGAAATGAGATATTCATGAAATTGAGTTAAAACTATCTGTTGCACTTCTTTTGAGGGTTCATAAAGTTGATCATAAATAACTAGTAGAAGGCCAATGATGTTGAAGACATTTTATTTTAAATTTTCACTAATTAGGAGATAACCTTTATGAGCAATGAACTTATAAATGATCGTTGAAACATGTGTTGACCCCTACACATAAAACCATGCGAAAAGAGGTGAAAACGATGATTTAAGCAATACGTGCATTGGCGCCACATGTCATTTGAAGGGTCAAACAATCTCTGATTGCCAAACGGACGACATCGTTGCGGTCAAGACGTCGAATTCTACTAGGTCAAGGTACCTCGTAGTCGGGTTGGATGAGATCGATCAAAAGGGACGATCGACACCTGAAATTAAAACGCGACGTCGGATCGACGAACAGACTTTGTCGTTGTGTCAAGAACGTTGTTAACCTTTAAAAACTATATTTTGTTTATTCAATTTGGGTAATCCGAATTGGTGAAATGAATTTCGAGATAAAACATGTATATCGAGAAAAATTAGCCTCAGCGTCGCTCAAACGACGTCCGATCGCAAAACAGACTACGTCGTTGTGACCGGAACATTGACAATACCCTAAATGCACTATCAATTTGTTCAATTTTAACTATTCGAAGAATTTGATATGTTAAACAAAAAAAGCACGCAAATCGAGGATTTTTATTTGATCGAAGCATAGCTGCCATCCTAATTCAATCTTAATACTAATAATAGCAAATATTATTAGCATTTCCTATCAATTTAACAAAAAAATAAAAAAGTCAAATGAAGGATCAAATCAGACATTAATGCAAACTGACATTATCTCGGGTGCTTCTCCCTCAAACCCATCAAATCCCGTAAATCCCGCACCTTTCCGTCACTTCCACTCAATCCAGAAGGTCACGACCACTAAAAGCCAACCTATTCCTCTCATACAAAAAAAACCCCAGCAGCTCTCCTCCAGTTGCTTCCCTCTGTTATCTCACTCCAAATACCCTCAGCCCTTCTGTAGTGAGCCGCCCTGAAAACCACAGCCTGGGATCTTCCTCCATGCCGACCTCAACCAGAATCTCCACTCAAATCTCTGCCTACGGCCTGCTACAGCAATTTCCCTAAAGCCCCATACAGCCATCCGTCTCCACTAACCGTGAGCTCCAGCTTTTTAAATCCTTCAACCGGTCAAACAGCAGACTTCTGGAACCAAAATCCCTCTTGCCTCATTTCCTTTGCTGCCCTCTCTCCGTCAAACTCCATACAACCAACCGCCTCCACCGGCTTTAAACTTGTCGTCCATTTCAGACTCAATACCGACGCAAGCTATCATCGAGATTGCCATCGGTGCGACGGCTTTTGTGGTGGTTATCACCTTTTTTTTTGTATGTTGTGGAAAGAATAGAAAGAGCAAGGTTGTGAATCGTGAAAATGCAATGACAGAAAGTGAATCTGCAGTTGGAAGATTGCTTGATGATTTGGGACTTCCAGAAAAGTAACCGTTCAGTTTCTTATTTCTCAAAACAAGCCCTATGTTGTGAAGAACGGGATGCCACAATCTATTCCTTCAAATCCAGTTGCACTAATCAAAAGCAATATCCTTTCCACAATTAAAGTTGAAGATCCTATTGGAGCCGTTGTCATGGTGACATTCTAATAGAAGAGTTTCCATAAAGGTGTGTGATACAGGAATTTGAAATTAAATTCCAAAGTGTTATCACTATCTTATGACTCTGTTGGAGATTCTCCATGCAATGGTTGGTCTATTTCTTATGCAGCAAAACCATGTTAATGACTTGGATCTTATGAAAATCCAAGTATTTGGTGCAGTCATAAAGATGGCTCTATTATGTGATGTTCAAGAGATGAAAATCAGAGAAAGAGGAAATTCTTTCAACCTTGATTTGCTCCCCAAGATGAACTCTCATCTGTGTTTCTATTGAAGAAGTAACAAGCCAACAGAGAGATGAGATTGTGAAGCATCATTCACATGAGGTGGGAGAGGAAAGATAATTTCTGAATTCTAGTGACAAAATCTTGTTAAGTTTAGAACCTTATTGCTTATTGCTACTATACTTTTATTTGGATCTTATGGAAGTGAGGCAAGGAAATTAAGGTGATTTAAGATAAAAAAAGGTGTTAAAAAAAAGAAAGAGAGAGAAAAGAAAAATGAAAGGAAATGATTTTTGTGCCCTCCACCTTGCCGTCGGTCGCCAAGATATAACCTCCTAAACTTGAAGAACCCGCTCTCGACACTTGCAACGGGGCGAATAACCACCCATGCGCGTTTTTCTTAGCACGGTGGGAGGAAGTTCTCTCTGGTGCTTGTGGCAAGGCGGGTAATCCCCATAAAATTCTTTTTCAGTGTTTGTGGCATGCCAAGGGACCACCCATGTACGCTTTTCTTAGCGTGGTGAGAGGGAACTTGGTGCGGTGCTTACAACGAAGCAGGCGATCCTTGTGCGCGCTTTTCTTGGCGCGGCGGGGCAACAATATAAGTACCCGTACGCGGGGAAAGAACTGTCTTTTTCAAATATCTTCTTTTAAAGACCCATACACGTCTTTCTTGGCACGGTGGATGACAAAAAACTACGGCTACGGTGTCTGATAACACCAAATGTGCATGTCTTTATTGACGTGGCGGGTGGGCTTCCTTTTGGTTTTTCCCCTAAACGGGGGAGCTATTGGGAGGCTGCTGAAATTTTGTCTAAAAACAAAGACTTGAACAAAAAATTAACTTGGACTTGCAACAAATGACTTAAGTAAACTCAAACAAATCAAGCAAAGAACTTGAAAATAAATAAGTTTTGGACCTAAATTCAAGTGAATAAGGACATGACTTGAACATTTAAACTCAAGCAAAGACTTGAGTTGGACTACAGGGGACATAGAACTTGAACTTGAGCTGTACAAACTTGGATTTGAATGTTACATATTGCACATCAACTGGACTTTCAAGTTTTGAATCCAAACTTGAAAATGATACAAAGAGCTCAAAAGGAAGATAGAAAATTGAGTCTTAAACTTAAATTTGTAATCATGCAAATGATGACTCAAATGAATAACACAAATAGTCAAACTCTAATTTGATGAATGTATGATCATGATAAAAGAATTTAATCATAAATGAAGGGATAGAAGACTTATGCTGAAGCCTTAGTAAGCATAATTTGTTGTTTTGCCCACAAGCAACACTGAATGCAACTTACCTAAACAATCAACATCGGCTTATATGCAACCAATGCAACAAAGTCTCCTACAAGCATACACAATGCAACATATTTGAAACACATGCGAGTATCTATAAGTTATCATGGAAAATTTCTTATTCACACAACAATTTACCTGTAAGCAAATGTAGATTCCTTCTCTACGAACAAGAGGGTTTGACATGCAATGAACGAACATAATGACTTATCAACAGTCATAACAATGAATACAACATATCTACAAGTAAAGTGAAGGAGTTGCAAGGAAAATTGTTTTCCTACTATCAACAACAGCTAACATGCATATGTCTTGCATATACATGCAACAATTCTTAAGAATGCTAAAAAGATATGCAAATAAGGAACCCAATGTCATTTGTAAGCAAATCATACAAAAATGACGATGATTGGAAAGTATATGCAATTTGATTGTGAGCACATGGTGACGAGCAAACTTATCATGCAAACGAGTTACTTCCAAGGATAGTAAGATACTAACAAACTCTACTTGCTTACAAGTAGTGATGGATTGTGGACAACATAACATCCTCTCTACAAGCGATGTTAGTTATCTTGTAAATACATACAACGGTCCTTTTATAAGCAACTATAGGAGACTTGTGAGTGTCCATGAATGACAGTGAAATACATACATGTGAATACGACAACTTGCTAGCCATTGCATACAAGAAAATCAGCAATATGTAGAAGGATTCAACGTATAATGAATGCAACAATGTTTTATGATTGTTGACCTGTATATGGTTTAAAAAAAAAATGAAATAAAAAATCTACCTGCCCGCACGTCGTCACCGCCCAAATCGCGAACATCCCGCACTTCACACGTCGACGTCACCTCTCCGCACGTCGTCGCACGTTGCTCTCACGTCGCACGACTTCGCGTCGTTAAAACAAGAGCGAATGGCTCTCATTCGCACTTTTCTTCTCCAGCGACCGAGCTCCCGTCTACTTCCTGGCTGTGCCCGACTCCTCCCTACTGTTTGGCTACGCTCGACAACCTCCTTTCCGGTCGGACAGGAAGCTACGACACTTTGATCGGCAGCAAAAACGCGAGCTCACTAGCTGCGAGGGTAACTTTCTCCTTCTCGAGCGCTTCTCCGGCTCCTTTTGCTATCCGACCGCTCCTTCGACGACATTCCTTCCAAATCGATCGGAAGTTACAACAATTCGGTTGGAAGCAGCGAACGGAGCTCGCCGACTGTGAGAAGGATCGAAAGCTCGATG